ATCTTGTTCCGCCTCCGCCTCTCAATCTCACTGTGATTCTCCCTGGAGCGAGGAAATGGGTTGGTAGGAATGGAGAGAAAAGCAGTGATTGAAATGGGGAAAACAGACGAGGAAATGGGCAACGTGGAGCAGAGTTTGGAGTTGCAACATAACCGTGGAATCTAAGAGGAGGAGCTGGGAATGACAGAATGTAAGAGAAGTCATGGACGCGTAAAAATATAATAAAATAAATGAGTGCGGTGGAAGACTTGTAAGTGAGAGAGAGAGAGATCGAGAGAGAGAGAGAGAGAGAGAGAGAGAATGTCTGGCCTTTGGAAGCCAGATTGTGTGACAAAAGAGAGCAAGTGCAGAAAGAGAAAGACCCTTCAGTCGTCCTGAGAGGGAGGGAGACAAAAGGGACAAAGAACAGTTGCTCAAGCCGAAGGGATTACCAGAGTGAAAGAAAACCCAGACTGAGCAGTGTGGTTAGTGACACATAACAACAAGGATAGGCTGCGAGAAACGACCGGATGCCTTTCTGACAAGCACCAAAACAGATGCAGAGAGACAAAAAGAAAAATTTACTGGTAATTTTGTGCTGTCGAAATGACAATGTGCTGGGATCCCCGCAGGAGAGGATAGTATCTGATCATTGCATTCCATATAAATATGGATACAAGCAGGAGAGGGAATCTTCCTCAGTGCTACATGCCATACCTGGCTAGTTTTTCCTTATCTGCAAAACTCTGATCTTCTTCCAGAAACCTAGAAATAAAACCAGCCTACTAAAACACCGGCCCAAAAGTTACCACCGAAAAAAAAAGAAAAAAAAGAAAAAAAGCAGTGCAACACACATAACAAAACGAAAAAAACAAACAAAACTTAAAGTAGGAAAGAGAGAGGGGGTAATGCCTGAATCCCATAAACAGCCTCCATTCACATCATGCCCTCTCCATTTAAGCCCGTACCTGGCAAAGCGCTCTTTTTCATTGTTGGAGCCTCCTGATTCGTCGTCAAATCTGACAAAGCATAAACAAAACACTGTTAACACAGCAGCTCAGGATATTGAAACATGCACATTTTCATTTCACCAAGCCAAATACTGACTCACACATGTTCTGTGTCCTTGACATTTTTTAGGCTACCTGAAAAAAACCCTCATCTGTATAAATGTCAACAGCGGACAAACTTTAAGAGGAGCAACCAAGCTCATGAACTAATTCTCATCAGTCTGTGTAGCAGCCATGTTTATGTTAAAATTGCAAAGTTCTTATTTTGTGCCACAGAAACTTGTAGAGCAACAGAAATATACAGCATCTAAATACGTGAACAGTTAGTTGCTCATATTGTCAAAATCATCTATTAAAGGAGGCATTCATGCACCATTGGAGGTTAGATCATTTACATTTGCTGCCTGGGAAGGAACACTTCCTGATAAATTTGTTCTTTCAAAGCTCAATTTCATCCCAACTTGACTCTATTTCCAACCAGTTCAAAAATGTGTTGCACATAGATATTCAACTATTGTGCTATATAAAATATAAAAATCAGCAAACCATAGCTACCATCCAGAGAGTAGAGTGAGTCGATAGACATAGATTCATAATCTATCATATTCTCACATAGAAGAAATGAAAGTGTTTCTAAACAATATTAAATTAAATATGAAGCATTTTATTAATCTCCTTGATCAATAAAGTTACTTAACCACAACAAAAAACAATTAGTCTGTATTATGTCTAAATACGCAGGCATATTTTGGTAATTTTTCACATTTTCAATTGTCCAACTCAACTGCACATTTTTTGCATTAAAATACACTATTTCCAATAACTGCACAGTATTTTTAAAAGCTGTAAATGTGTCCCTTATTCTAACTGCATGTTAGTCCTAGTGTATGATTTTTATTTTTCTGTAAATCTACACGTCTCATCTGTCTTGACACTTTGCTGCTGGTACATGTGAATTTCTCCACTACAGAACAGTGAAGTGAGTTCTTTTCTTCTATCTGATCTAAAAAAAAAACCCAACTAACTAATGACTACTCATTAAGCCAGGAAAAAACAAGAAACAAAACAAAGACTATTCGAAGGTCTTAATGAAAAATTTGAACCACTAGAGTCGGTACAAAACCAGCAACTAGAAATCTGGCACAAAACTCTAATTAGAGAATTGAGGAAGCTGCATGTATTTGGTGTTGTTTTACTACACAGTTTCAAAAGAAAATCTCCACACTGATAACATGAAATCAATCACAAGCTCATCTGTCCTCCTAGAATGCATCTGATAGTCTCCAGTTAGCTGGATTGTGATCAAGTGGAGCTGAACTGACCCAGGTCCGACTCTGGTCCTCAGCAAAATAACTGAAAACGACTTGACAAATAAAACAGCCAGATTAATACCTTATCATCTTGCTCCCATCATCGTCATCAAAGTCCTGCCTGTAATGTGAAGTGCGAGATGAGATATTTATGGTTTGTCCTCATGAGAATGAGGAGAGCAGCGACAGGACGGTGCTCGTGAAGGACTTACGCTGCCCGTCTTTTGTTGGTCCCCTTCGGTCCACCAGCGCCGCCGTTCTGGGTCCCACTTGCTCCCATACCCAGGCTACGGTCTGCTAGGTCTATTAATAACACAGCGACGGACAGACTCAATGTAGCGGAGATGACAGGTGATTTCCTTTTTCTCCTTGCACCGCTGACAAGGAAACTGAGCCTCCAATAGGACCACACGTTTAAAAAGACTGAGATGAACCCCCAAATCAAGAGAATTTACTCTTGATCAAGACCGTTTGATAGCAGAGACATCACGACACATGGCTAGCGCCACAGCTACACAAAACATTAGAAATACATAACACCTGGAGCGAGTTAGCCGAGAGCAGCCAAGTCAAATTAGATTTATTTTACCATCTCCAATACGCTGGCCGTGCAAATATATTCACTTTAAATCTATTTTAACGACGCGACAGACATTTTAATTAAAGGCACTAGAAGCCAGTGAGCTGCCAACTTCTCGTGCAACGATCAGCTTGGCTTACCTTAGCATTACCCTCTATGCTAAGCTAACTTAGCATTTGCTGTCACGCTATCTTTAGATAAGTATTTACATAAGAAATACTGATGGAAATACCTCAAAATGGATTAGCAACTGCAGAGCGCTGTAGCTAAGCTGCCAACTTGTCTTTCACTTCTCCTTACCTGCATTTGAAGAAGACATATCCGCGTTGAACAACATAAACAAATAACTTCTTTCACAGCGGAAAAAAATCCTCTAACTCTCCGCCCTCTCTCCCCCACTGACTAAGCTAACTTCGGGCGGAGCAGTGCGGATTCCTCTCACTTTTTCTTAAAAAGACCCAGAGCCATGACTGACGCTACTTCAAAGCTACGGGTAATTTTCACACACGATTCCAAAGTGATAATTAATCCCTGTCACTACCCCCGTTTTCCTGTTTTCAACCCGTTTAAACCCCCCTTTCTATGCAAGATGGCGTTTCCGAGGAAAAAGTCTCAAACTGTATTTCTTTCTCCGATTCCTATTGGACGTCAGTCAGATAGATACTAATGATGCATTTGTTTTTCACGCTTCTTATTGGACACTACTGAGAAAGTCACTAGTGACGTAAATATTGGGAAGCCCAAATTTTCTTCTCCAGGCCTCTGTATGCGGCAGTGGGACTAGTATGGCAAGCCGTTTTAACATAAATTTGGTTTCGTCTGACTACTACATTCTCGATATCTAAAACTACATTTTGACTATCCTGATAATTATTCAAGATATCTTCAATTACACATCTGTCATTACAATTTAAAATATCTTGAATTATGTTGTCATTCGAGATTTCTTTAGTTAGAATTATGACTAGTCAAAACTAAACATATCGAGATATGTTGAATTTACTTTTTGAATAGTCATAATTTAATTGTAGATATCTGAAATGTGTATTTCAGATAGTCAGTAATTCATTGCAGACATCTTGAATTGAAGTCTCCTACTTGATGGTAGATCTGATGTCATTTCGACTAGTCAGAATGTAATTAGATATCTCAAACAGGTATTTTGTCAAGTCAAAATATAACTAGAGAGATCTTAAATCGCTAGTCATAAAACAATTTGAGATATCTGGAATGTAAGGGCAGCAAAACCGAATTTATGTTGAAACGGCTTCAGGTTTGGCCTCAAGTTCTGCACGAGACAGTGACTCACGTTGATGTGTCAAGGTGTTAGGTAGTCTGATTTCTATAAAAGTGGGCAAAAATGACTTACCTGTACTGTGTTTTCAGTGATATGACTCAAGAGTTGCTCAGAAAATGTTCTAATGTAGCAGTAGAATTTACGAAAGATCTACAAGAGCAAGTAGAACAACATAATTAGCATGAAATAATTATTTACATTTTATTTATAGAGTAATGCAATCCAGTAATTTTTACCTGTAGGTGAAAATATACATGAAATTGCTGTCATGTAGTACTTTCCTTGAACTTTTTTTTTTATAGCAACTCCAAACTTTATTTATTTTGATTTTATGTGTCAAACCAAAGCAAAATATAACTATGGAGAGGAATAAAAATACAAAATAAAAAAAAACAATCCAGTGTAACATTTCCATTCAGGAGTTCAAACAAGAAGAATCTGTGTTGCAACATGACAAACGTTTAAAAAATAAAAGTGGCTTCAAGATTGAACCTTTCTGCAACAACTACTTTAAGATGGTCTGGTGTGATACAAAGAATGAATATGTTAAAAAGCACCTCAAGCCCACTGTAAGGTATGGTGGAGGATCTGTGATGCTCTGGGTCCAATTCTCTTCCAAAGGCACTGGGATATTGTTTGGGACTTGCCAAGAAATGCAGCTAGCACTGAACATCTCCACTCAATTTTAAATCACTGGATTGCCAAAAGTAAATTAAAGTGTAATGTTGCTAAAATGTTCCTTTAAATGTTATTACGATTTTGTGTCAGTGTGTTGTGTGTAGATTCTTTAAAGACACAATTTAGACACAGATGACTCCAGAACGTTTTCTTTGTGATTTTTTTTTAATCATTATTAACAATATTTAGGCGTCATTAAACAAAAGAAAAGTACAAAATAAAAAATATAACACTGTAATCAGGCCACAGATATGTTTTCCGCATCATGTTTGCTGGTTGGTCGTGGTTAGTAATAGTGGACTGAGAGTTGTGTTTGATGAAGGGAAGTGGTGGATGCAGCAGTGGGAGGATGTGTTTGGGGCTTAGATACGAAGGAGAGAACATGAAGACAGGAGAATTCCTCGTTCATTACAAATAAGGCACTTGACGTACAAATATATGAATGCGTGACGACACAAACGAGACACTTATTTCTAGAACTCTTCTAAAAAAACAAAAACAAATTTCTTTCTAAAAACATTGAAAAACATAATTGTAAACCTTTTCAAACAGAATCATAATCATTGATTTAGATAAACACTTTTCATTTCCTGCAGGTTGATGAATGTGACCTCAAACATCAGCTGTGATTGCTCAATCATGAGCTGAACTAAGCACTCATTTCGGTCTATTGTTTTAAGTTTTCTTAAGTCACTTAACTGTACAAACTGAGCTTTGACGGAACAGAAACCGAAGAACTTCATAAATATTACAAGGCTGCACTGACTGTAAAATATTCCTTCATATCTTTGTGCAAAGACATCATAATACCTAACAGAAATGTTGTTGCATAGACAAAGAAATGCCCCAGTAGCTCACTTTCCTAATAGTAGTTCTCACTTCGTTTTGATCTCTTTGTGATCGCAAAACAAAGCACACACACACACACAAAAAGACATATGTAATAAAGCAGCAGTTTTAAAGCAGAAAGCCATAAAATGGCTTTTTGGCAGCTACCAGCTGGCTCTAAGGCACACCATTAAAACATGAAAGCTAAAGTGGAAGCAGCAGCAGCACCTTCCTGTTTCTCCTCCACACGTGGAACCTCTTCATGTTCTCTCCTGTCTCACTGACAGGCTTGTTGGACAAACATCTAACAAAGATGATGATACGTGATTTCCTTTTTCCTTTGGTGACAAAGCAAAAGCAGTGCCACTTAGTGTAGTGTCAATCTTGATACTTGTGTTCACTAAAAGTTTGACTGCGAATGTGGATGTCTGTGTTAAAGTAACAGTGTTGAATCTCCTAGTTTTAGGGAATGCCACCTCGTCTTGTTTGTCATCCTTTTTTCATACGAGTCCTTTCTTTCCCGCTCTCACACGTTTCACTCTGTCTTGCTGTGGTTGTTGTTGTGGATTGTGTGGCCATTCTGCCTGGGCCCGTTTTTCTGTGCATGCTTTTTATTCCCTGCCTCTTCCTCCTCTTCCTCTGATTCGTCCGTTTCATCTTTGTCGCTTCGGTCATCGTCCACTTTTTCCTGGGAATAAGAAAAACACAGACATGAGGGACTGTTTAGGACAGTCTGAAAGCTGAACTTAGTCTCAAAAAAGAAAACAGTTCAGTCGCTTTAATGTTTGTATGTATTTAAAGGATATATTTGCAAATTACATCAGTAAAATCTTGACATTAAAACCCAGTCAGTTAGGATGTTTATTGACATGTCCTTGCAGTTTTGCAGGCTTCTTAGTCAGTTTCAAACAGTAGATGGTAAACAGAGTAAACATTTTGTGGTATTTAGAATATCTTTAGGCTTTAACAATACTAAATATGCCACAGGATCTGATTTTATTGTTTCTCTCTGCATACTTGGACATAAACTGCATTTGTTTGCATTGTAAAGTGCATTGAGATGGCATTTATTGTAAAACTGATTCTTGACATGCAGTAAATGAACAGCTGATGCATGATACATATCAGCTGTCTTTCCATCCTGAAAAGACATTAAATATGACTTTCAGATACTATTTATCAGCTCTAGATGTGTTTTTAGTCTTACATTTCTTATATTTTAATTTACTTGTCCACATTCCTTTTTTATTAGGAACAAATTCCGCAATAAATTCAAGAGGACAAGACAAATTTGTCTAAAATAAACTTTTAAAGACCGTCAGAAAGCTTGAAGAACAATTGATCAAGACAACTTACAAATAAAACAGCTCCTTAAAAAGTATAAAGAAATTGTGGTGGATTAAGACTTTTGCAGAGAGCTATATAGCATGAAATATGGAACATCACAGGTTAATAGGAAACCCCGCTTTGCAATGAACCAGAGCTGGTTATCCATCTGGGTTTGTCTACTGCATCCAAGTGCAAAAGGCTGCTCCTTTAACAGTGACAGGCCTTCTGCTATGTCACTGTGCACTTTTACTCAGTGCTGCAATAAGTGAGAAGTGACAGCAACACTCTGTGTTCAGCCTCTTCCTCTATGGTGGCTCTATCTTGTGATCCTAATCTGACCACCTCCATCTTAGAAGTGCATCAGCCTTGAAAGCAGCATTTGAACAGAACTGAAAGGCAAAACAGAGAAGTTGAATAAGTGATTTCTGCATATTCCAATCATACGGCAGCTTCACATAGAGCACAGTAAAGCAAGAAGCGGTTTTCTGAAAACGTTTCTCACGCTGATAGTGTGCACTCCAAATTTTAAAAATTATTTCACAATAATGACATCTTTCTTTTTCTCCCAGCAGAACAGGAAGTACAGTAAATCAGAATATTTTTACAAAATAAAAGCTGCGTATCTCTATATATGTTTTCCTTACGTTGTTGGTGAGGAAGCGGATTGCTATGCGGATGATGAGAACGGCCCAGAATATATGGAGACACTGCAGAATCATAAGCAGCCCGTTGAAAAAGTAGTAGCCGAAGAAAGGCGGGTAGACGGTCACTGGGTAAACCCAGGTCCAGTAAATGATCCTGAATCACACAGAGGATCAGGGAGGAGGCAATGAGGCACAGAGGAAAAAAACATTCAGCTCATTAAAATGTGTGAGAACAGTTTTAATCTTTTAGTCTTTTACTTTTCAGTCTTAATGTTGTCTCAATTTTATTTATTAAATACTGTTTTTAGATATAGCCAAAGTCTACATCAATCTAAAAGACATTCTTTGTACATATACTAAAGATAAAAAATGTGTGTGTGTGTGTTTGTACCAGAAGGGGAAAAAAATGAGGCGCGTGACGATAAAGACTGCAGCAAAAACGATGAAGATGTAGTTACAGGCATTTCTCCACCCAGCATAGTTGAACATCTTAGCAGACTGTCAAAGGAAAAAGAAAGATTTACAAACAAATGGATACATATGAGCCGAATGATTATTGCTAATCTCTTTAAAAGCAAAAAAAAAACAAACTTAAATGCACGTTTTCAAACACCAGGTGGCAGTATCGGCTTCTTTGCATCAAATAATCTTCTGTGTGGAAGTGGCACATAAATAAAATTAGCGCATATGATTTTAGTGTTCAGTTTGTCAAAAAATGCATCATCAATACCAAGAGTTTTGTTTACAAGCTTTGTGTTTGTACAACATTATGGGCAGTTAGGTAGAAAACATTTACTAAAGTCATGTTTTACTACTTCTTTGTTCACAAAGTAACAACACGATGCTGTGGTTCACTTCTAATCTGATATTACGGACTATCCTCAATCTTGAAAAAGAAAATCTCATAAACTTCTAGATTCTAGTATCCATCACTATGAAATGATGCTTTAAAGCAAACAGGTAATTTTTTTTTATTTTCATTGTTAAAATTCAAGAAAATGATCAAATCAATCTATGTGTTTCCAGTCAGTGCAGAGCTTTGTCATATATTGAAAATGAAGCCATGGAGTAGTGATGAAACACTGGAGGTAAAATGTTGTTTGACATTCAAAATGATCCAGTGAGGGACATTTACCTCGAGGAAGTAATCGGAGGAGTCGTGAACCAGCATGATTAGAGTTCCAGCACGGATGTAGTTCACACACCAGGAGAAGCTGATGAGGAGGATGGTCGCTACATGATGAACTATCTGCTCTTTAAAGTCCTAACGGGAAAGCAGGAAAATGATTTGCTCAGGCCATGAGAGGAGGAAACATTTTAAAACGTTGTTGGGTTTAGAGCTAAATCCTGTTTAAGATTATCTCAGACTAGACCAGGGATCTGCAGCCTTTACAATACAAAGCACTATTGACTAAAACTCTCTCAGAGTCGCAAATTTTACATTACCTTATGAAAAAGGACAAACGATTCATTTTATTGAAAGAGTAATATTACTAAAAATGATTGTTTTAGTAAAATAAAATAACTTTATATTTTAATTAATAAGCTCATTAATTGAAATACAATAAATACATCAAAATAATAATAAATTAGATGAATCTATTTAATCTAATAGATTACATTTGCAGCCATTTTTAATCCACCATTTTATATCTATTTTTTAATCTAAAATAAATAAAAGTATTAAAGTTCAGCAAAAATCTTAATGCTATGGGATATTAATAGTTGTGAAAAATGATGTAAACAAAAAAAGCACACAGTTTCCAACCTAAAGTGAATAATAATAGATCTAAATATATATTGCTGGTGCTATTGCTGTCGGTCTGTTGTGTAAATCCGATGAAATTATTCCATGCAAAAACAAAACAAAAAACAACAAAAAACACTGCTAAAACCTGAATTTGTATTATATCTACATTTAACAACATGAATTGGTTCTTTGTTGTTTTTAACCAGATTTATTAAAAGTCTCTATGGAGGGTTTAATTAGCCACTGTAATGTCAGAGCCGCAGGTTTCAGAGCCCCGGTTAGACTTGTGGGGTTACAGGAACACGCTGTGCCTCTTTTGCAACACTTTTTTCTCTGCTCTGCCCAGCTGAGCAGGCAGAGCATAGTCCAGTAAAAACACAGAAAAACACACGTGTAACAACAGTCTAATGTCCACCCACAGTCCACAGATGTGTCACAGCTCAGATCATTCAAAGGTTACTGAGGTTTTCTCTGAACATAATGTAATAGCGGCACACAAAAAGAAAACAAATATTACAAGTTATGCTACAAGAACATAGGACATTAATTCTAACTTTAAATGTTTGTGGGACTCCACAGAGGGTTGCAAATCACCAAAAGCAGGATCTTGAGATCATCTCCAGATTTCAAATTGAAATCTTGTTTATTTGAAAAATAGTTCAGGTTGCATGTTTGTGCCACTCTTACATTATGGATCCAGTGCTGAAATGTTTGGGAAATCCTGTGCAAGTAGACAGTTTCTTGCAACGTATTTCATTTGTTCTCAGAAGAGAAAACTGCTGCTGAAATAAATTCACTTACTTTACGTTTGACGTCAGAAGCCACGCTGAACAGCAGAGAGCCGTAGAACCCCAACTCGATCATGTAGTACCAATACTGAGATGGCAGCAGAGTCTGAACAAGAGAGAAGTCTTTAATACCTGAGATCTATGGGCTAATATAAATTCAGACTGTAGGAATTAGATGTTGCTAATAAGGAGGCATTAGCCATTTTTTTCCTGACAGATAACTACTTCATAATTCAAATGTATATTTTTTCTAAGGATTTCAATAGATTAAGGAAAAAAATGTGCTTTCAGGTCCTTTAACAGAGGCAGAAATTTCATCTGAATTTAAATGTAATAATAATTATCCCAATGATGAATCAAAAAATGTGTTCTCCAGCCATCTGTGTTTTTAAATGCTTAAATAGTGAATGAAAATACATGAAAGTAGGACAAAATATCTTCAGAATGATCTAATAAACTTTTCCTCGTTATTGCAAGCAGCTCCTGGAAAGTTATTAGATTAAAGACGCATTTACCGTTTAACATGGTTACAGGTTTGTTTCGATTGTTTTATTCCCTTAATAAATCAAATCATCAATTGAAAATACCTTCTGTGATTTTTTTCAGGCTATTTTGGTGTGACATTGACATTTGTTTAATGATCAAAAATATATAAGTGTCACAAAAAAACAACAAAAACTACAGAAGAAATCTATAAGGAGCAACATAATCTCAATATTTTACCTTTATTCCCAGTTTATGACAATAATTCATCACTACACAACCATTTAATTCCTATTTTGCATTTATGCTGGATAGTTTGAGACAGTAATCTGATGCCTTTGTTATTCTCATCCCTCCCAGAGACGTACCAGCACAGGAAAGCCTTGCCACATCTCCTTCGTGTCGTACAACCAAGGTTTCTGGAAGGAGAAACGGGACGGGGTAATGAGACAGCAGAAATCCGCAGGTGTATTTATATCCACTGACTCAGCACCGGGATGAGTCAGGGCTTCGTCTCTACAGAGAGGCAAAGTTATCAGAGCAAAAAGAGCAGGCAGCTACAGAAATATACAAGTTGCAGCAACGGGAGCATATGATGGAGGAGACTGTGTGTGGGTTTATATGAAGAGAAGAGGCAGTACTCACATCGATGAGGGAGGCCAGGCCAGCAATGAAAGCAAGAAGGTAAAAGGTAAATCTCCAACTGCAAGAGAACAAACACATACACACTTTCTCTTCAGTCAGTCAGGGAGAAAATGTTTAGTAACTCATCACACCAAAACTGCAACTTTTGTCACATTCTCATCTGGTGCGATTTGTTTTCCCAAACCAAACCGTTTGGAAAACCTGTTCACCTGCTCGCCTGTGGGGGGGCTGCACAAAGAACCACTGAAGAGAACAACACAAAAAATTTTGCTTCTCATGTCAAAGAAGACATGAGAGCAACATTCTTTGCAAAAATGTAAAACTAAAATAAAGTGGTATCAGATTGTGTAGGATTTATTGTGTAGGATTTAACTTTTGTTTTAGTAAAAAGACCCCCAAAAAACACAAGTCATTTCTCCTACTGGAGCAAGCTGGCATTTGTTTTAGACTGTATTTACCCAGAATGCCCTGCGCTATAGTTTGAGTACTGCTTTTGAAGTGGACTCCAGGAACATATGCTTTCAAAACCTCACCAGAGTTCATTTTCTTCGAGCCAAAACCTGTTTGCATCAGAGTTTGATTGTGCATTCACCCCTTCCCCAAACATATCAGACTAAGTAGACAAATGAACTGGAGTTTGATTAAAACAGACTAAACAGGTCTGTGTGATTTCATTCTTTGTTTCCACACATGGGAAAAAATATGATGAAATAAATAATTAATGTTCAACAATGACACGCAAACAAACAAAGCTGGACAAATGTTGATCAAACAGCAGAAACACCAGACAAAAGAGGGAGCTGTCAATATCCTGCTTCAGAGATGGAGCGAGGTCACAGCTCCCTTCGCTGAATCACACAGGTGTGGTGAAAAGGCTTCAGACAGAAAGCTGGAGCAGCAAGAGAGCAGCCGAAGCACAGCGAGAAAAGGACAGTGAGAGAGCGAGGGGACACATCAGCGGAGGGGAAGCAGGAAAGACAGAAACCCTGTTGTCCGCACGCACACAATGGGTTGATTGAAAAGAAATAATGTCCTTATGTTGCAAGTAACACAGTGAAAGACACACCATAACCAGGCAGGGACAAACATCCAGTCACGTGCACCCGCCTGCACAAAACCAGACGAATCGTCCGCAGCTTGAATACAGTATAACTCACATGCAAACACAAATACAGCTAAAGCGATGACAGAGTCCCTGACACAGCTGAGGCCGTGTAGTAGATAAGTTTACAGCTGGAAATGCTTGTGGAGAACCGGGCCAGAAAGGCAGACTGGCACGGTTCTGAGTTAAAAATAGGGGACTCGGTCTGTACATGCAGTACGTCAGCTTAAAGTCAATGGTTGTTTTAACCTGCTTCGTGTCACACAGCTGGGCTCCAAAGTTAACCTACTGTTATTAAGGTCATAAAAACTCTCATCAATGACCTCTGACTATCCTCCACCTTTAATATTACAAATACTAAGAGCAATTAGAATATTTAACAAATAAAAAGCTCAAGAACCTAGCGTCCTGAAACAAATTATTTGTTTTCGCACTTTGTCATTTGAAAACAGGATTCAGTTTTCTTTGCCAGGAGGTTATCAGTCAATCACATCATGACATAAAAATGTGGCATCATTAAATAAAAAGAAAAAGTGAACTTTTATGTCGACAGATACCTTTGTACAAATTTGTTCCTGCAAATACAAATAAGAGCTTTACTTCCTCAACTTGTGAATTTTAGTATGTTGAATGCTGGATACGAATCAAAAGTTGCTTCAATATAGTGTTGGTTTGAGGTTGAACACACCTCTGCAACCAGGTTACGCACCTGAATCGCATAAGAGACATGTCACGTCAGATGTGAAAAATGTCGAGGACTAAGGCCTCCATACGTGGGGTTGTGCTAACTTTCTACGCCACCACAGCACGCCCCCCGCATGTTTGTGTTTTTACCTGGCTTCTCGGAACTTCTTGAGCAAACTCGGTCGGTCCTGGTTCCTCCGCCGTCTGAACCATCGCTGCACTTGTCTTTCTGAATAGCCCGTCTGTTTGCAAAGGCTCGCTACTGAAGACTGAACCAACAAGAAGAGGTTTGATTTTTGGCTTTTTCCGGTACTTCACATCCAACAGCGCTCTCAGCGTCATGAGAGTTACCTGTGTTGGGTTTTTGGTCACTCTACAGTAGTAGGACTCGAGGGAGGGAATGTGAGGCGCTTTGAGCCGAACTGTCTCTTTCACACCGAGTAGAAAGGCCAGAGGTGTCGCCACTGTCCTGGGAATAAACCAGGGATTAAAAAAGAAGCACGTCTTTAGAAGAAATAGGTCAAATGAATGGAAATCAAACTAAAATGTAACCCACAGATGATAAATGAAAGTATAATACAGGATGTGTACTGGAGGTTCAGGATGTTTACACAGTATATCTGGAAGCTAATTAATTACATTCAATAAATATCTGGCAACATAACAAAAGATGGAAGTAGAAAAGATTATCTTCCACACCTCACAGATAAAAGTTAATGCTTTATCTAACAATGAGGATTTTTTTTTACCCTTTTCTAAGCAACTGGACAAACATTTCTGCAATAAAATGCTCAAGTTAGAGAAGCCTAAAGATCAAAAATCAAAAGTTAAAAATATATAGAGTAGCTTTTCCAAAGAAGAATTAAAAAAGAAAACTGTTTCCTTTGAGACACATGTTTTTATTTCTATGTTAAATCTCCTCAGAAGTCAATGACGATGTGTTTTTCCCGCTAATATGTACATACTTCTTGAAACAGCTAATTTTTAACATATAAATAGAAAAGTTATATATAGAACCTGAAATCACAAGAAGGTTATGCAGGATCAACAAAAGGCTGACTGGAGCCAACTTTTAAACAATAAGATCATAATTTTCAGACTCCAGGAATCTGAAAATTCCTGGAGTCTAGTTCTCCAGGAATTTTCTTCATAAAAAGAAGAACTAGTTCATACAAATAAATGCTGTTTTTGATTGTCTGCATTTTTATTCTAAACAGGTTTTAATTCATGTTATTTCTGAAAAATTGGGATCTGTGCAAATGGAGGTGGAAAAAATAATCTAGTAGTTGGGCACGAGGGGATGTCTGACAAAAAAAAGCATGTTTTATAATTAAATGAAAAACATTGCACATTTATGAGCAACTGTGAGCAGCGGCTTTTTTGTCACTGTAGGTTTATGCAAATGTTATAACCGTCTTATTTTATGTTTTTCTTATCACATTTCCCAACGTTAGAGAAGGTGACAGGGAAGGTAACAACAGATAAATATAATGAAGAAAATAATAATTAATAGTGACTTGACAAACATAAGCAAGTGAAATATATGACTGCATGGGATATAAACACTGTTTTAAGTTGTAGATAGAAAAAGAGATAGCCAACTAAGAAAGTCAAGGACAAAGCCAGGAGAAGGTAGATGGTAAAAGAACAACAAAAGAGGAAGACAGGGATAAATGTGTGAACTCAGACAAAATAAACGTTTCAATTAAAAACAGCTGAGGGTCACAGGTAAGCCACAGGACAGAGTGAAAAATGGACCGACCTTTCAAAGATTTGCCGGATAATGAGGAATACCAACGCAATGGGAAGTGCCACCCATAAATCATGGCCCTTCGCGTAAATACGTCCATCTCGATCCTCCAGATCAGCCCAGCCCAGACCCTCCGGAAACCACAGCCGCTCCTGCCAGAACCACTCGCTCAGCTCCACCAGCATCCTGAAGCACCAGGACTCTGCTCCACCCTTATGGCTTTATCAGCCTGCAAATATAAATCAATTAAGCTTAGAGACATGCAGTAAATGACAAGTAAAATCTTCATTCAGAGACAAATGGTGAAATATACAGTGGATTAATTTTGGTTTTATTTGATGCTCACTGGGAGCATATAACGGAGCACAGGCGACTCGCAGAAACCTATGAAGATCCACCTCAGGGATGAGCAAATGTTTTTCCTTCACACCTCCACGATGAACTCGGAAATGGAGTCATCTGTGATTGCTGCTTCTTTCTCTGACGTTATGATGAATACTTCTGCTTCTATGTTCAGGGAGTGGCAGAGAGTAAAAGGCTGGCTGCAAAGGGAGACGATACGTCTGTGGGATGTGAGTCATAACTCATCTACAAGAGCAGAGCGAGTGGGGGCACCGTTACGCATGCTATCAGCGGAGTCCCCTTACAGAGCTACAGCAACTTCCACTCCTGCAGCTGCAAATGCCAAAGCCGTGTAACCGCCTGGCTTCCACTCCCATCCCCACCCTGCTGCTGCTGCTGGCAGTAATCAAGGAGGATTCCCCTTTGGCTCAGAGAGGCAGAAACATTTCTACTGCTCTTATTTTCGTAAAACGCCCAATAACACACATAATGTTATTGATAGGACAGGAGTGTCAAACTAGTTTTCTTTTAGGGGCCAAGTCAAGATCACAAATGCTCTCAAAGGGCCGGTTGTGCCAGAATGTGTTGATAAAACCCATCAACAAACTGTTAAAATATTAATAAAGAGCTCTCTGCCTTCGATAAGTACCTCTTAAAATGAAGTAATGTTTTCACAATCATCGGACCCTCTAGGATTTCAATATTGTTTTTATTTGTTGCAGTGAAAATGGCTGATTTTCTGGATCTAATTTAGTAACTTAGAAGAAATTGTAAGTTGTAAATGTGACTTTTTGTTAATCTCTTTAAACACAGACTACAACTTGATATCAAGTAAGGCTGAGGCGGCAGTGTAGCAGTAGTGAGAAAGTTAGCAGCCACATAACTTCAATATTTTCAACCCTTTTTTTTGCAATAACCTCAAAATTATGCAAAATATATAAAACTGCTTTGATATAATTGATGGAATAATATTTGAGCACACAACTGTTATCGTCGTGATTCTACTTATGCGTCTCTCTGGACTCTAGAGGGCCATATAAAAACTATAGCGGGCCCGATTTGGCCCCCAGGCCTTCAGTTTGACATTTAAAATAAGGAAATGCATTAATGGATAACAGGAAAGAAACTTTGACTATGTAAAGACATAAAAGACACAAAACACATGAATGCAATATCAACATATCTGAATGTTTTTGCATTTTAACCACATGTAATAATAATAAAGCTGATTTATCTGATTCGGCTACTGCTGTAGAAGGTGAGTGAGTGTATTATTTTCCACAGAGTCATGTCAGTCCTCACAATCCCTCTATCCTGTTGCAAAAACGCTGGGTTACCTTGTTTTTTTTTCTTTTTGTTTCCCTTCAACACAGCTGGTCAAGAATGGGCATATTTTTACCTATAATTTTGTCAGTTCTTCCACTTCAGAGATTCAACATCTGCCTTTTGGTGATCATGCATAATGCATTTATGTGCAAATATAGCCTCAGGAAAAAGTTCCTCGCAGTCAAACCTAAATAAGACGAGTAAAAATCAGCGGTCCAAAGGGTGTTTGATGTGCGGAAATGTTAGAGACAAAAGACTACAAAGTCCTACAAAGTGTGTTGGATACAATTAAATGCAACAAGCTGGACAAACACACCACAAAGTGAGCAAAAAATAAAGGCAAATATACAATGAAGCCAAGAAAAATGTTTAAAAAGTCACACCACCCGGAAGTAACGCAACATTTTAGCATTTTGCAGACGCCAGGAGAATATTTTTAGGGTTGCTTGTTTAGGTCATCCAGTGAATTCAGCATGTTTAACCAGTTCTCCCCCCACAGCTTCCCAAAATCCTTCTGCCATTGGTCAAACAGATCACATGACCAGACTCTGACCATTTCAAAGGTCCAATAAAACTAAAGAATGCCTCCGACCGAGGAAGGAGCAAAGCGGTTTTCCCTCTCCCCCTCTCTCTGTCAGACAGACTTTCTCTTCCACACTATACATTGCAAGAGTTCAGTCACTGTAAACAGTGATTTCACATGCAGCTGGCTGAATGCCATTCCAGATATTCCCGAATCCTGGGGTTTATACGCCTATAATGCTTATTCTGATAAAAAGCATCAAACAAAAGTTAGGAGAAACCTAAACAGATCCGAGGGGAACGTGGCACAAAGTCCAGGAATATTTAGAGAACGTAAACACGCTGGCACCAAACAGAGGAATCACTCCACTCTGTCCCCATTCACTCCCACTGGTTCATAAAATCATCTGGTGCTTTACAGTCAAATAAGTACTGGAAGGCAGGAAGCTGAGCAGGTCAGGGGAACCATAAGTCATAAGACTAACAATGTGCTCTGACTGTGACTCACTACTACCATACCATCTGTGTTGAACACCTCGCATCCAACCACATTCAGCAGGCTCACTTTGGAGGATGAATCATTCAAAGCACAACATTCGGCAACCATTAGAGGAATAGACAGCAGACAGATTCATGAGAGAGACTTAACACCAATGAGGTTATCAGTCCAAGAACAGAACAACACAGCAGCTGGGAGACTGATGCAAGGAAAGCTTCAAGAGAGCACAACAAAAACATAAACCTATAAATTGCCAATAACTAAACAGATTACAGCAGAGATGTCCAGTGTCATTCAACTGAATGCCATTTCCTGGGTTTATGCCCACCATTAGCCCTTCTCCTGCCCCTCCTATCCCTTGGTACTGGATTCAGGAAGTGGTTCAAATACTCTACAGAGAAACAGGACACTCCTTCAAGAAGCATGATCAGTTCTCACTAATTTCTATTACATAACCACATGTGACTTAATATACCAATATGTGTTGTGAAATGGCTTATCAGGCCACCACAACACATCATTGTTAATGCCTGTAATGGAAGAACAAAAATGTACAGCCAGAAGTACCTTAATGTATCTCAGTTTCCAGTAATGTATTGACAATATGCAGACAAAAAAAAAAAATACTGTGTTTCTAAGTTGTTCTAAAACACAGTAATAACATATAAATGTGAATGAAATGGTACTTTGTAGTCAGGTTCACGTTTTAATTTTGACATTTTAAGCAAATATGTTATTCCAATGTTTCTTGATAAATAACTATTTGTTGAAGGACAATGTGAGGACAGGGACGTTGGTTCCTTCAAGCAGTGGGAAGCTGCAGCTGCAGAGAGAAGAGCTGAGCAGATTTGAGAGTGTGATTTGGTCAGGATAGTTGCTTTATAAAAGCTGTTGTTGAGGTAACACCTCTGATCACTTTGAGCTTTTTGCTGTCAGAAAATATCCCAAAGATATATGTATTCAAGAAATTTGATTAATTTTAATTTTCCTCTTTTTGTGCTGGTTCAATCCTTCACATATGGATCTTTATTGGGTCATAGGAATGTCAAAACTTTAAATATTTAGTGCACTGCCGTTTCACTGAGGTAACATGTCAGAATACATCTATAAATTACAATGCATTTTCTGTTTTTGTTCTTGAAACTATATTTTAAAAAGACGAATATTATGCCTGCTCTTGCAGAGAAACTAAGCATTCTAATACTTTCTAAGTAAAACCAACCCAGAGCTTTATATCTCAAATCCCCTAAGTAAATTAACAGCTGTATTAGTATCAACATGCTGTATAATAGACCATTACACTCTGCATTTCTAATTAGATTTTAATAAGTTGCCAGCGAGAGCTAACTGATGTTTAATAAAGATGTTGAAATATTGAAGACTCAAAGTCCACTCAGTCTCAGACCGCTCAGCCTAACCGACCAGAACCACTCAGATAAGTTTGTAACACAAAAGCTATTTAACAAACTGATGCATTTGTGCATTTGTCTCTCCATTTGTGCACTGGAGAGAACAGTTTCTCTACTATATGGGTGATATTAAATCCTTAATGATCTACTCTCAACATGTTGCTCACACTCAGGTTGACATGAAGCTGTTTTGATTTCCTGTCAGGTTTTCACCGGCATTAAACTGAACCCTGCCTCGGCTGTGTTTAAAGCTGAGTTAAAAAGCCACTACACGTACACAGTGTACACAATGAGAGTGTTTAGTGAAAAATACAAATTCTTTTCAAGAAATTAGATTGAACAGGAGGAATACAGTCTGATTAGACATGTTCAGGTGCAAACAGATGCTACTGCAATAAACTGAACTTAATGAAAATAGATGTAAAAAAAATAAAATAAATAAAAGCTGCATAGAACCTTATTAGTTGCTTCATAAATGGGAACCATAAATAAGAGCACAGATCATTAACTTGCAATGTCTATAAATATTAGGATCATTTTTATAGCTTTGTTTTTAAAGCATGTAGTGATACAGTAATTAGTATCAGTGCAGTTTGAAATTGAGATTTTAGCTTAACAATTGCAGAATCAGGGCACAAACTGTCATTTCAAAGCTTTCAAAATGTGAATATTTAGTATTTCTATGCAGCAAAATGCATTTGTGTAATAGGCGGAGGAAGAAGAGGAGAGGGGAGCCGGGCGTGCTCTCTGCTGCACATGGTTTGTTAGCCCTAACTCAGGTCATGCTTTAAGCATTTTCCAGCAAGGATAAATGATCAACACACATCCCCAACATTTTAGGAATTCTTTGGGAAAGTAACTCAACAAACATGGAGATTATTTCTCTTACAAAAAATACATTCAACAGATAATCTCAGTATGTAAGTAGGAGTCTGTGTTTCATCATCCCAAAGCAGACAGTTTATCGAGTTGTTTCATGACTGTTATCCTTTCTGCTGTGTTATGGGTAAACATCATGAAAAAGTCAGGTTTTAGTGACACTGACTCATGAATTATTGATGTTGGAGGTCAATCAGTCAGCATGCTGCTGTTCAGGAGGCACTGTATGTGGAAATGGTTCACCTCGGTGGAGGCAAGGCAATGATTACATTCACCTTTTGGTGATTAGTTTCACTCATTCAGCGAAGACCAAATTCCACCGTGTTCCTCTAAAGCACCGATTACTCACTGAAAACAGTCAAAAAGGAAGACAGAACAATGTTTAAGTTGCTTTTTAGATCTCAGGTTAAAGTATTTAACTCAAGTTTGTCAAATTCATTTTAATTTTGGGTCATATCAAAAATCTGAATGTACGTAAAGGGGCAGAATGTATTGATAAAACCCACTAAACTGTTAAAATATCAATAAATACCTGTTATTAATGTTTAGTATTGAATAAGCGTTTCTTAAAATTAAATAATATTGAACGTCTTTTCACCCTGATAAGCCCATCCAGGATTTTGTAATGTTTTCGTGTGTTTTGGGGGGTTTTTTGCAATCAAAATTACAGATATTTTGGCGCAAATTTTTTATGACATTTGCGCTAATGTACGGTGTTAAAAGTCACTTTTTATCAATCGCGGTATCAATTGCGGACTACAACTTTGCATCAGGTTAGCCTGAGGCTGCAGTCACTTAAACCCAAAGTTTTTGACCAATTTTAAGACAAAATTGCAGTAAAAATCTGAAAAACACATGGGGATCTGTTGATGTGTGGATTTTGCAAACAAACTGATGTAAATTGGAGTCTAAAGGGCCGCATAAAAAGCTGCAATGGGCCAGATTTGGCCTCCGGGCCTTGAGTTTGACACGTGATTTAACTTGACTGCCTGGTCTTGACTTCAATGCAGAATTGTAGTCAGAATGAGTCATTTACAAACACATTGTTACATATTAGGACAAAGCAAATTAGGTTGCATGAATGACTCACCAACTGCTGAGGCTCATGTAAGGAAACTTAAGACTTTTTTAGACTACTGCTGTTTTCCAGGTCTGTCATTCCCATTCAGATTTTCCTTCAATGAAATATAACAAATGAACGAGTAATAAAATTATTCTTCTTCATGCATCAAAGCACTTGTCCCTCACTGCTATGTGATTTATATGTGACTCGAAGTGGGTCAGAGAAAAATGCCTTTACAAATCAAGAAGGTAATCTGTTGGTCCATCACCTATTTATGTAATCCAACATAACCAGGCTTTTTGTGAGTGATAAAATGCAACACAAGTTTTGAGTAAAAAATAAATTCAGATTTACATTAAGATTTGAGGAAGCTGCTTAAAAATATTCTCTGAGCTCAGAGAATCATTCACAATAGTAATAAAACCTCTGTCTGCGTTGCAGAACAGAAGTGCAGGAGAGCCTGGATTCCTGCTGCAACAAGGCAGCACAACACCTGCTGACTGTGCTGGTTTTGGGGATTTTAGGTGCTACCTGCACATACAAATTCCTCTTGTAGGCATTAATAAAGTATTTATGAATCTATTTTATTAGTGTTTAAAAATGTCCGATTGAAAAATCATTGTTGAGGGTCGGGTTGCTTTTAACCCACATTTTCTTCAGTCACAGCTTAATTTTCTCATTGCAACTTTTGCTTTGACTTTGATTTCCATTTGGGCTTCTTGAATCTACTGAAAAGCGATGGATTAGTAGTCCTAATCAAACCAGTTAGTGTTGGGTTACTTCCTGCTTCCACTGTGAGATATGAACTGAGATTAGCGTCGCTATGAAAGGGCAAATGGGAGAACTGACTGTCACCCCCAGAAAATAAAACACAACTGGTAATAAAGTAAGAATGTTCACTGCAGGATTTAACAAAATGGAATGTTTCCTAGCAGTAGGACCAAAATCCACCTCCTGCTAGTGTGTATTTGGGTCAATTATATCACACGAGGCACAAGAATTGAGCAGATCAGCCAGCGTTGTTGGAGAACATAACAGACAAGCTACAATTACAGATTTCCACTGATTATTGGACAAACATTTTATTTGCAAATCCTTTAGACTCCAAAGTCTTGACTGATGCTGCTGTGGATGGAGAAACTAAACCAGATAGACAACGATTGCTTTAGAAACTTTAACTGAAACTTTAACATATCTATTTATATTCCAACTCAAATTCTTCCATTCCATTAGATGACATGCATTTTGTAAAAATGTTGTATCCTGTAAACATCGATGTTGTTTATAGCTGTTGAAAAAAATTATATTATACAATAGCAACACCCAAAACTGTCTATTTGTTGAGATTGTTGTTTTTGATGCTTTAACTATTATTTCTACTCTTCAAATGTAATTATAATAACTGTGAAAATATGGTAATGTTTGCCACATAGTGCAATTACACTACATATAAAATAATTGGTGTATTGACTATATGTTAATGGGGAAGGTTTTACTTTTATAGCAGAATAATCTACACTAAAAGTTGCAAGTAAACTATATATTGACAATTAAACCAGTGGCACATGGCAATATGCTGTAAAGTATGTTTATAAAATATGTTTATTTTGTGTTTGCATGCATAAAATGAAGACAAATACATCATCTGTCTGTATTGCAAACTGTAGTTAGCTATTCGGCTTAAAATACAATTAAACAGCATTAGTCAAGCTCATACAGTGATAACCTCACATCAGGCCAAGCCTACTGAAGGATGGAAATGCTTTAAAAAAAAGCAATGCAAATACAAAAAAAGATCTGATTGGTGATTAGTCGCCTTATATGATGTCATCAAAGCCATTTGCGAGTGCAAGCTTGTTTTTCCAAAGGGAATCAAGATCTTTTTTTCTTTCAATGCAAAGCACTAAAAGAAAAAAAAACTAACGAAAGATTTTGCTACAAGTGACAAACTATATCCAAAGTGGACTTTGTTGCTTTTTAGATAAGTCTAGGCAGCAGCTTTTTGGTGGCTACTTTGTTGCAGGGATGGTTCACAAACTGTGGCGCTGGAAAATATGTCCCAGTCAAAGTCCATATCACATTATATGCGATATGAAAACTACCACATGGAAAAGTCAACAACAGTACGAGCTATTCTACTAAATTCCAGCTCTGTGTGTGTTAGCTGAGGTAATCTGGTCTGGTTGGCAAACTTTGTTAGCATGGATCAAACACTGAGCCACGCGCCATCATTTCCTTACACTGAACAGCAACGCTTAGAAACTTCACGGCTCCTTTCCAAACGCATTTACACATTAATTGCCATATTTTTTTAAATTATTATTATTATAACTGAAACAAAACTTCTGCTATGTCGCATTAACGGATTCCTACATGAATGCGTAATGACGTCTGAGCAGAAACAGGATGCAGGACGTCGTCTGCCGCAGCGCACACTGAAGCGAACAGCTAACTGCTTCGCCGACATGAAAATGAAACGGTACTCACTTTGGCGTCTTGTTTATTTGAGTGCAGTGAAATTTGGTCTTTTCGGGATAGAAGTGCAGCTTGTTTCCTCTCCTCCTCCGCAGTCCGGGTTCCGGTTATCCGGCTCTGAACCTAGAGGTCCTAAAGGTGTGCGTCCAGCCGGCTGGTGGAGCTCAGAAAGGTGCAACGGCTCAAGATCCGAGCTGGTCTTTTCATGTTTTCATGGAGGATAGAAATCGGTTGTTTGGCTTTCCCCCCCTCCCTCTTCTCTGCGGATTGGGGAAAAACTAGAAACCAGCTCTCATACTGGGAGACACGCGAGGAGCTCCGATGAGAGTGGCCGGATTTTCTTCCAACGGACGTCCAGGCTGTTCTGTCCCTCGTCGTGTCCCCGCTAATTTCATCCCCCTTCTCTCGCGCGCGGTCGGCAGAGTGTGCGTGGGCGTACGGCCGGACAGATGTGCGGGGTCGGGCCTGCTGGAGAGAGAAGGGACTGGGATCCGGGCGAACCGAGGGAGGAGTGAGAGAGGGGGATAACGGGGAGGGAGGGAGGGACGCAGATGACGTCCGAGCACGAGGGAACACTTGGCTGACATGTCCGCGTTTTGTTGCCACACCGAGGAAAGTTTTACCTCACCTCTCCGTACCAGTTACTCACTGGTTCCATTTGACCACTTCTGGGTTTTTAATCTCTACTTTATGAATAATGTCCTAATTAACAATTTGCTATTGTCCACTGTTATAACTTTCATAAATAAACTGACGATATATTTTTTCTTTCATAACTTGTTTCCAGGGATTTTTGAATAAGATTCATTCTTGAGTCAACTTTTAAATGAGCTTTTATTAGTATGAGTTAAATATAGATTTTTTTACGCGTCTTTTGTCTGAGATTTCTCTGTGTATTTATTAAACCGTTTACCTTTTTTATTTTCAGTTTGTCATTTGTTCCCAAAATATTTCAACACTTTCTAATGACATAAGACACATAACTTAGAGTTGTCAAAAAATATATTAGATTCGAAGTCCAGTTTTTAATTAACCTTTATAATTTTAATCAAAATATTTTCTTGTATTCCATAACTATTATACTGACATAATGTACATCGATTTATTTTATATTTTTATTAATTAAATTTTTTGTGTTAATTTAGTTTTCATACCATTAATAAATACATCACCATCAGTTGAAAAATTTATAGCCTTGCTTGTGTTTTTATTAACTTGCACTTTATTTTAAATAAAAAAGTTTGTTTTATTGTTTAAATAAAACATTTTATATGCTATCTTTATCATAAAACATTTCCTTATTCATCTTTTTAAATGAGCTTATTTGATTATAAAATAATTAAAAAATATGCCATTCCTTTTTGCTTTTCAGAAGTAGCATAACGTGAAATGTTTTTGCAACTTCTAGGTAAATAACTTTATTTATTGTCATGGTTTGAACAAATGAATACAATGAATTTTGTTGGCAAAAGTGTGTCAGACAACACTCCCATGAGCAAAATTGCTCAAAGAATGAACATTTTCAGTTAAACATGCAGAAAAAGTTATAATGTAAATTTACATATTAAAGGTAAATTAATTTGTATTAATTCATTATAAATTCCTTTCATAATTCCTTAGCACCTTCAGTTTTATTCATGCTGCACCTATATATATATATATTGTAAGGAAAATCACATTTGATGTGAACATTACTAATAATTTTTGGTCCTGCAGCTTAAATGTGGTGTAAAAGCTTTTAAAACCATGTCTTACGTTACATTTCACTAACTTCGCCGACCCCCCAAAAATTGCTCTTAAGCAATTTTTCTGTTTATGGTCTCCCCCAATAATGAGATTATGTCATAAATAAAATTTATTTTCAATAACCAGTTTTTCTCTTTTCTCATTTTCCATTTCATTCAAGACCACTTTTATTTCGGTGATACTACAGAATTGTGCTGAGACACCCATTTAAACGTTTGCCATTACAGATTAAGAATATTGCAGCTGTTCCTTTTACCAGCTAAGGCTCTTTTTCCTGTGACCTAAAATTGAAGCACACGAAGGGTTGTTCAAAGTGCACAGTGACATAAGGTCTACATACCCTGCAGCTTGTAAATTAGCTTTCCCAGATAGACACATTAGGTTCAGTAGGGCACGCTAAGTTAAGCTGCTGTTGCATCATTTCTGAGCGGTTACTTGATGTTCCTCAGATTGTTTTATTATGCTGTTATTACAAGGAAACAGATAAAACAATCATTCTTGTTGGATTTCTAGTTTGGACTTGGCAGAGTTGTAAACATGAATTGGTCATTAAATGTATGAATTGAGAAAATGCTTTCCTCGCGGACTACAACTGATCTTTTATCCTTTTTAACAAAAAGCAGCTGCACAGAAGTATTTGCATCAAAAATAGATTAAAAAAAATGTGTGCACTGTGATGATGCTACTTAGTTCATCTGCAGCTTTCAGTTAAAATAACATAATTTGGCTTGCACCCAATTATTCAGGTCTTTGTTTTGTAAACTGAGGCAAACTGAGACAAGCTTATCCAGGGAAATAAATAGTAGTTTCTATCTTGGTTAGAGGGTAATCAACTTCAATAGTGTTCTCAGAGATAAAGCAAGTACAGTGTGTAATTTTGCTGATAAACAATTTGTTATACATGAGTTCAGAAGATTAGATGCAAACCTCTTAATTGGTGGACTCCAGATACGCCCCCTACAGGTCACAAACGTCACGTACAGTTTAGAAATTTCCCATGATTCTTGCCAAAAACAGACACGAATGACAGGAGGCCTTTTAGTATGATACCTTTTATTTAAACTTAAAAAGAGTGGATCAAAAAACAGGATTCAATAAATAAGAAATAAATATAATTGCTGTAATAGTTAATAGATACATTATAATTACTCGATTGTAAGAGTCTGACACAAACAGGCTCTCAAAAGTTTTTCTTTAGAAAATCCTAAAACCAAAATATTGCATTGCCACTCAAACATTTTCTCCCAATAAACAAAATAATTGTTAAATTAGTAAATAAATAAATAAAAAATAGCTCAATTATTAAAACCTCCCGAATAAAAGTGCAACCCCGGCCCCCTCCCCTGTGTTTCACCTAAAATCTAAGTAGAAATTTAAAATAGGTTTGTGATTTCCCCATTTTACAATTTGGAATGTAATAGCTTTCTCATGAAGAATGATGATGTCACTAGTTGTATTAATAATAAGAATAATAATGATAATAATAGTTATGTTGCAGTGTTCTGTTCAGTGTTTTATCTAAAGTAGTATTCTTTTTTGCATGTTTTCTTGATTTTTTTTTTAAATGCTGCTCTTCGTAAACTAAACTATATACAGCTCATTAGGATCCTTTCCAAAGTCTTTCTAAGCTAGTCATTTAGCCATCTTTTTTTTTTTGCATTTTCTTTCTTTTTTATTATGAAACAACAATCCCTCTATATTTGTCACGTAATAGACATGGAATAGACGTGTTAAAGTCTATTGAAGTGATATATCATTGTTTTTTTAATCAGTCCCTTTCCTACACATGTGATCTGAGTTCTCTTAGTTGTACTAAATACCCTTTTCCATACAGACTGTGGTCAAACCAAGCTTTTGGCTGTACGGATACCTAATTTGTTTTAACTGTGTGTATGTGTGTGTTTTGAGTCAGTGTCAGCAGGCAGGTGTTTGTCTTGTGCATTTTATATACATTTCAGCTTTGAGTTTCACAATTAAGGGTATCTCTCTGTATGTCAGTGTGTTTGTGTGGCAGCTCTCCGCAGTCGCTCACAGGTAGAAGACAGTCTGAAAGCACAATGAACCCTGGGACTTCACCTTCAGTTGGACTCTGAGAGGTCGCCTGTGAGAGGAGTTGGAGGGTAGAGGGAGTGGTAAATGAACAAGAGGAGAGGAATAGAGAAAAATATAAAAGATTTTGTTAAAATTTGAAGGGAAACTGGAGCTCTGCGTGGGTTTCTGAGCTTCACATTTTGTCAAACATGCCCCATCCATCCAACAAGATTCCTGTCTGGGAATCACTGGAGCTACTGACAAACTTGCTGCTCCCCTTTGTACCTTTGGACGCTCCTAGCTTTTTTACATTTCAATCTTAGAGCATTATTGGTATATGTCAACAGCAGTAAATCATGGTGCTTTTACATATACATATACACTGTCTGATCAGATCATGCAGTTAATTACAGGAAGTCACTGGTATGCATCCTAGTATGACTGCAACTGTGTGTCTCAAAGGAAAGCATGTGTGTGTGTGTGTGTGTGTGTGTGTGTGGTGTGTGTGTGTGTGGTGTGTGTGTGTGTGCACTCATGAAACTCTGCGAACTCGCATTTCTGTGTTTTCAGCATGTGCTGCACTTAAGTGCCCTGGATCATGGCAAGCAAACACTACCAACAACATGCATCACTCGCTGGCATTAGCAGTATAGAAATTCTGGGTGACAATTTCATAAAAAAATGCTCTGGTTTTAATGCTTAAATTATTTTCATTGTTTATATATTCATTTATCAAAGCATTTAAATCATTAAATACATAATGCCTTGCAAAAATACTCACACCCCCGGAACATTGTAAAACAGTCGAAACACTGCGTTCCTTCAAAAGTGAAATACTAAACATTATTTTGATGGGTAATGATAAATGTAATGTAAAAGTGTAATGTTTCAATTGTTGATTTTTGATGATGTAAAACACTTTGAACTGCCTTGTTATTATATTGTACGAAGAAACTTAGGTTTGATTAATTTGATTGTCACATTTTCTGACGTTACAGCGACGAACCGTATTTTTTACTAAAATGTCATGTGGCAGCTCAGCACCAAATTGTTATTTTTCATAAAAAAATTAAAAAAAAACATCTGAAAAAGTGTGGTGAGCACCGCTGTGTTCATACTTATATGCATTAGACATATACTACACTCTGCAATAATTTAGAAGTACGTCTCCAGCAGATTTGTACTTGGTATGGAATTTGTTTGGTAATCCAAACACATGAATATTCACTGATTTAAACCATCATAACTCTGATTGCATTTGCCCCGGTCTCAAGTCTTTTGTTGCCTTTCACTGTTTTTTCCCCTCAGGATTGACCTTTAATTAGCTTCATCCATCTTCCAATAAACACAGACCAGTTTCCCTGCCCCTGCTAAGACATGACGCCGTCCTAGTGATTGCTTAGGATGACGCACAGTGTTAGTTTCTTTTTATGAACCATACCACTGTTAGTTTTAACCATTGCAGCTGTGCAATTTTTAGGGGAATCAGAGTTAAAAGCAGTTTGATACAATTGAAAGTCCCACTTTTCAAGTTTTTATTTGTAAAGATTTTTTTTTTAGAAACTATGTATTCTTTCCCTTCCTCTTCATAATTAAGCACTACATTGTGTTTTGGGTTGCAATATGGTAAATTGCGCAAGACGTCTGAGTGTGTGGTTACTTTTGCAAGGCATTGCATGTTACACAAAATTAAAAAAAACAAACATAAAAGTGAAAATCCTTTTGATGCCTCCACACTCTGATCTGACAGCAGCCTTGTTGAAGTTTTTAATTCTCTCGTATAAATAAAAAAACTCTCCCAGAATTCCTATATTTGAAGGCTGTTCTCCAATGAGCAAGAGGCACTTGTTCTTCCACCATGACACCATCATACCCTTCACCCCAAAACAAGTCAGAAGGAATAGTATAAGGAGGTTGAGATGAAAGAAACAGATCGACACTTGAAGAAGAGAAAAATGTGGAGAAGAAGAGGATAAGAGACAGAAAAAGAGGAGGAGCAGTGATAAAAGATGTGAAGAAAAGAAGCAGGAAAACTAAAGTGCAGCATCACAGTGTAAAAAACTCACAACCCAAGATTATGAACTCAGCCTATCAGAGTACAGCTCAACAAAATGCATGCTTACCCATAAATACAGAGCGCTACA